TTCTTATGTGGCTGTCTAGGGGCTAATAAACTAGTCCGATTTACAAATAACTTAAATATTTAATGAAACATAAATAGTTGCAACAAACTACAAAGTAATTACATACGTAGAAGGAAATAGATGAGATTATTTACAGATGAAGAGAAGGAATAGTCTTTAATATGCAAACATCTTTTAATCGCGTCTCGTCTTAATGGCGGAATCGTCTGACTTCTATCATCGGAAAAGTCAAAGATTTATTCTCACAGCTTGTCGCGTCATCCGATTATAATGAACGATGCCATCCCACAACTGTAAATATAATTTTTAGTTGATAGTGACGTAAATGTTGCAGGAAGAAAAGGATGCATGATGAAACTTTCACAGATCATATAAATTAAAGCATTTTGATGAAATACAATATAACAGTTCACTCACAAATTTCTTAGATTCATAGAAATATAAATGATGAGAAAACAGAAGCGGCTAACATAGCATTAGTAGCTTAGAGGCAAAGGAGCTAACACTGCGTAAATTAAAATATAAATGCCAGTTTAAGAATGATGAAGTTATGGATCTGTTATATTTCTCTTGGTTAACAAATGTTTCGGTTTGCAAATTTTATCATTGTCATTGGATAAAAAAACTTTTCATCATCAAGTAAGTACACGCATCCTAAGTGTTATATAAATATCATATGATAGGAATTAATTACTTCCTTGTACAAAGTAAAGGAAGTATTGTAATCACGAGAAATTCCGGGTATCATATTTCAACAAAAATTTTTATTTTGACCGCTATCGAATGCAGTTAAACGATGTGTTTATGTGACATCTGTACGTAAGAACAGGATAAATGACTCTATTTTTCCCAAACGAATTGTAAAACGGATATAAATAGATTCAAAAGAGATTCTTTTCGTGGCGTCTGTACGTACGTACGTATGTATGTATGTATCGCGCATAACTCAAAAACGAGTAGCCTCAGAACGCTGAAATTTTGTATAGAGGATTGCTATAATATGTAGTTGAGGACCGTTTTGGTAGCAATCGACCGCACCAAAAGTGTATATAGATAGTTACTCGGCTTAGTAAGCTCAGTTCTTTTTTATTCGTATAAGTTGGTTTTTGCTTTAAAAATGATTGAATTATGTTGTTTTTTATTTCCGGTTAAGGTTTTTATGCCTTTAATTAATCTGCATGCGATTGTTATAGAATTATCAACAGTTTAAAGGTTGTTTAAGTCCGGCTAAGCCTAATTTTTGTTTACCATAGCAGCCATATTTGTTTGCTTTATCTTAATTTCTGTAATATTTAATTTTAAGTTGAAGTTACTTTCCTGTCTTTCCTTAATTTTAGCTTACAACTTCCGGCCAGAACGTATTTTCAGAATAGCGGTTGAATGCAAATGAGGAGAAGAAGTATTTAACTGTAAAGTTTTACTGTGTTAAAAAGCCAGAGATTCTGATCAGCGAGTGTTAGCCTTTTGGCGATACTCTCTTTAAAGCTATTTTTACGCTTGGCCGTACTTTAGGCCCTTAATAGCTTCGCCATTAGTTAGCGTTAAGAGGTCAAATCTGTTAAAATCTTGATAGCTTCGGCTATATCTTTTTAGTTAAGATTAGTTAAGTTTTATTTCTTAGTTTCTTAAGTTCAAGCCCCAGGGGAGGCTTTATTGTAAACTCCAAGAAAGGAGTCATCTGTTAAACTTTATTTGGAATAATAAAGGGTATTTAATCCTTCTCGAGTTCTGTTCTCTGTCTATTGAACTAAAGCGATTATTCGCTTATCAGTTCTCAATGTTCCAGACACATTGCAGTAATATCCAAGATTTTGAATCTTACAACATTTGAAACTTAGCAGAATATGAGTTCAGTTTCTTTTTGCCAGTGGGACTAAAATTAAACTTTCATTTCTGTGTACCGAAAAATCTGCTTTGTTGTCTGTTTGCCAAATTGCTTGTTTCCGCTTAGAAACTCTATTTTTTTTCTTTTGCTGTTTTAAATATATTTGGTGTTTTATTTTTTTCTATATTTTTCAATTTTTAATGAAGATATTTTGAGGTTTTATGTATTTTTACCTTGCCGCGAATTGAGAACAGAATTAATTGAATGAGAAATATATCTGTAATGAAATTCGAGGAAATAAGTTTAAATGAAATGCAGCAAAAAGTGCGTATAATTTTATATTTCGTACAAGGAAGTCATGTGGTGTACACATCAGATTTTTTTTATCTTAAAATATTTCTTTTAGATGCTAGACTACTATTTGAATTTCTCAGACTTCAAGCTCACTTTTAATTTTATAATTATTATTTTATTGTATTATTTTTTTATACGTCGAAGCATAAAAATGGCATATCGGAGAATGATTAAATTTATTGCAGTTCAAAATTTTTTTGACTCTTTTGATTTGAAATTTGTCATTTTTAACAGCTCTAGGATTTTATTTTTAGTTACGTATATCCAAGAATATTGTGATAGTTTAAAAATTATTGTTAATATTATTAGCTTTTTCTTGTATTTAGAACCATATAACACAATTTGTTTGTATGCTCTTTATCGTAACTAGCTGCTGAAGAAAGAAATATTATACAATATCCAGCGGTTATATTTTTGGACGGTTCTAGATGAAGTAGGATATTTTCCAAGCATCATATTTCTATCTTTGAATCTGTTGTTCATCTACATGGTCTTACAATTAGTTGCGTTGTAAGTGATAAACTCAAGCCTGCGTGGGTTAAATTGAAACTTATGCCTGGATGATTACTTAATAATACCCATATCAACAGAAGAATTTGAAAGACTAGTGTAATTTAAAAGGAGCTTGATTATGTCAGTTCATTTAAACACACACAAACAAGGAAAAAATAGAGATCCTTATTTAATTGGGCCTTTAATAATGCATATCTTTAATTCGCAGATATGAAGATATTAATAAGTATATTAATCATTAGATAAGACGCTAAATGACCTTTTTATTTTTGCTGCTTTGCTGCTTTTAATGTCGTGTAATTTATATGTTTAACGGATAAAAATTTTTAAAACAGAGATCTTCATAGAAATATTTCTGCATTAAAAATTTTGCGAGAAGTGCTTATAAAGTATTTCTATTTAAAATGAAATATTTATTACCAAGCACTTTAGAAGCAACATCCATCGGAATACATACACCTTCGACAGCGTTCCTGAGGTTCTTGCAAGTATTGGTAAAAAATCTCTTTTTAGTATCTGTCATAGATTCATCATCGCAATATTTTGGAAAACGTTGACTCTTAGATCTGTCTTGATAAAATAAAGGATTAGAAATTTGGCAAATATAATGGTTGGACAATGGCAGAGATCTGTTCCTGATCAAAGCAACCTATGTTCCTTTACTCAAAATGTGGTATTGCGGCGAAGGTGCTTTAACTTCTTTTGTATTACAACAAAATCGCGCTGTTCCAGATTATATCAATCCATGCAATTTTTCTAGAGAGAATCGCTTATGCCTCCCAACAACCATAGTCAATTATTGTAAGATTCACTCACATGATATGACTTTTACGTGTGCTTTTCGAAAAGAGAAGTGCTCTTTTGTAATGAAGGAAATTTAAAGATGTGGTTTATATATTTGACTGTAAATCTAGTTAATTAATTATTTAATAAAATAATTAATCAATTATTTTTAAAGTAATTTCTACCACAACAGTTGTGTTACTTAAGTAAATTTTATTTCCTAGTTATAACGATCTTAGTGTAAAATGAAAGCTTTCGCCTCTTTCGAAAGGAAAAAAAAAAAAAAGCGTTGAATCTAATTTTTGTATAAGTGTATTTTTACGATAAATATTGATTAATGCCTATTAAAACAAAAGTAATGCGCTGATTTTAAAAAATAGTCATTTCAACAGCATTTTACCAGCGGCCGAGCGGTAAAGTCGCTGAACACCGGTAGTTCGGTCCAAGGTTCGAATCCCGCGAACGGGCTGGCTGCATGGTCGTTTTCGTGGTTTTCCCCATGTGTAACGTGTATACGAGCCAGTTTCCCTTAGAAAGTCTTCCACGAATTCATCCCTCCTCTTAGGCAGATAGCCCTCGAGGCTTTTCCATAATTACACACACACACACACAACAACATTTTAAGGTCTAGTCTTGTCTAATTAACAATAAGGAGTCAGATTTGCATTTCATAGCAAATATATATGTATATATTTTTTTCAGTTACTACTATTATTAATTGAATACTGTATAATAATGGTCACAAACTGCTGGCCGGCCGGCCGCGTGCTTTTTTTGAAAGATATTTTATGCTGCTTACCAAGACATTTCAGTTATGTATTCATTTAAGATTAAAGATTATTATTAAGATTTAAAGATTTTAGTTATTTGAAGTCTTCGTTTATGTTATTTTCATTTCCATTAAAAAGGAACATGAATAACGTAGCAGAAAACCTGTAAATGATGAACAATGTGAAACCTATTCAAAGACTTGAAAATAACAGATTTTATTAACTTTTATTCGTACTTGTCAAAGAATAAATGAGCTCAATTACGAATTTTTGCACTAAGAATATTCGCTTTATTTTTTACATTTATATGTAAACAGCTTTTTTGCTTAGTTGAGAATTAAAAAGAAAAAAAACCGGATTGATCGATGAGCATCTAGAATTAAAGATGAAGATAATTTCTAATAATTTCTCTCGAAGGCTACAAACTTTTATCAAAATCGAAACGCCAACAAGTTATAGCGCGAAATACAGAATTTTATAATTATTTACATGCAGACATATATATTTTTATGAATCTAATAAAAACCTATTAAATTAGAAAAAGAGTCTAGGTTGTTATTATTTATTCTTAAGTTTTGTCCCACTTGGTAAATTTTATCTCTATTTATTTTTAGCTTAAATTAAAATAAGCTATTTGATGATCAATTAAACATGTTAGAATTATTTAAAATTAATGTCAGTCTAAGAAATTAATATTTAGCTGTCAATGTATTTTAATTACAAAGTATTATAAGGTATTTTCTGTCTCCTTTCAGCTTGCCTTCTTGGTGTAATTGGAAGCATCCTCGACGCATATTCGAGAGATCCAGGGTCCGAGTCCCGAAGAGGGTCTTGCACATTATTCACGTCTTCTGTAAAAAAAAAATAATAATAATAAATTTAATGACTCTACAGTGTAACAAGCAAAAATTTCTTGAAGGTTAAAAAACAGAATTAAGATTGTATACAGAAAATAAATAAAAATTTGGATTTTTTTCCTTTGCGATATTATTATAATCGTTTATGTATGTTTTAATAAATGTTTAGTAAACTAAATTTTAAATTTATTTTAAATTTTTTTATTTTATTAGTAAAGTATTTCTCTTCGTTATAAAGAACATTTTTTTAGTCCGTAAACTCTTTTCAGATGGTGCATTTCCCAGCATGCAATTTGAATTTGAAACCATTGCTGTATAATACTTGCATTTTTGGTATCGCTTTCAGATAAAATGTTTTTTGGCAGAATTTCTCAAAAAAAAAAAAAAAAAAAAAAAAAAAAAAAATTATATCTTCTATAAGGAAGTAGGATTTTAGGACCGTAAGGAAGTTAAATTTCAGATTTTAATTTGCCCTCGGGGACCTAACCAGAACGAATTTAACTCAATTGCATGTTCGTAGCTTATTTTCTAGTAATCGTGTGCTAATTTCGCTTTTGAAAAATCTCACATGCTTTGTACAAATGTCTAAATAAAAATTAATTCCTGGAAATTATTTATTTTATATGAAATAATATTTTCTTGAAGCACATATGCAAACTTTTTGGCCAGTGTAAGGCTTGAGTGTGAAAGTAGGCTTAACAACTTACTTTTAATCAACGTCATAACGATTTATCTGGTGAAATTTGCTGAAAATAACACATTTATCTCAGAAATGATAAAATAGAAGGGCATTTCAAAAGTGGAGAGACACTTGCTTTTGCGTTTAAAATACCGTGTATACACAAGCACATGTAGCTTTACACAACTCTGACTAAATTGCAAAGGTTTCATCCAATCAGTTAAAAGCGTATTGTAGATCCGTTTCCGGGAAAAGTTTTCAGGTTATTAATCGCTTAATTGCCTGCAATGATTTCCTGAAATGTCCTACACAGCATGTGTCTTTCCTGATTAATGAATTGCTCTAGTTCACAGAAGTATGCTATAAATAATTGTAACAAAATCACACGTTATTTAAATGAATAGCTCACAAAACGGAAAATTTTTTGACAAATTTCTGAAATTAATGTGTACTAAATTGTATACTTTTTTACTTATGAATAATTACTGTCAAAAATCAATTTTGGTGAATATAACAGCAGTTATTTCGAGAATGTTTTATATAATTCTTTCATATATTTATGGATAAATATTTGTAAGAGCATCCTTAATTTTTTATTAAAGTTTTTTAATGGAGAGAAAGGAATTTGACATTTGACATCACAAAATCGTATGTCATTCCCTTATGCCTCATCCTTGGTAACAACTAGTATGAAGCATTTGGAATTAAGTAAAATATTAAAATTGTTTTTGAACCTTTAAAGTTCCTATCTTATTCAGGAGTTTGTACACTGCGTTTTACCGAAAATTCCGTTTATAATTTCTTTTAAAAAGATGTTTTTTATCACACGGCTGTTGAAAAATTCTTGTTTTTTAATTTTTGAACATTTTGGGCGAACCTTCTGACATTCACGGAATATTTTATTCAAAGTGAATAGTCGAGTGCCTTGTCGTGATAAATAACCTAACCTAACCTAACAGTTCCTGGTAAACCAAACACTTCGTGGTGACTTTTAATAACACTAATGCATCAGAATTCAGCTTACAAATGTATTGCTTTTATTTCTGTAAAATTGTTTATGGTTATCACAACACTATATTCAATTAAATTTGTGAGAGGAATAATTAAGAACATAAAATTGAAGATGACAATGTAGTTTTTGTCGAGGTTAATGTTCTGCAAACCTTAATGAAACGTTTATTTCATTTTTTGAAATTGAGGTAGATAAAAAAGTTTGGTTATCCAGTGGCCAAGTGGATAACATTGTTGATTACTAGTAACTCGACTGGGCTTGAATCCCAACGAATTAAGTGGGGGCAGAATTGGCGTTTTTTCAGTTTGTTTTCTGTGTGGAAATATGACCAGTTGCCTTAAAATCTTGCATCCCTACTTTTTATCATATAAAAAGCTTTTTATCATATAAAAAGCATCCCTACTTTTTATCATATAGCCTATAAGGTATTTCTCCCTCCTTCCAGCATGCCTTCGTGGTGTAAGACTTGGCGCACAATATGTGGTAGGACACTTGACGCATATTCGAGAGGTCTAGGTTCGAATCCCGGCGAGAGCATTGCATATTTCTCACATCTCCTGCTTCAAAACAACCTAATATCTCTACAAGCCTTCGAGTGCTTTGCCTTTATCAACTAAAATCGTAAGCAAAGGAAGATAAAACGAAGAATTAAAAATAAAGCTATCTTTTCATAAGGTAATTAAAACCTCGTATTTCTTCCCGGGTTGGGTACCTGGTAGCTTAAAAGGTATGCTACACAGAAATTTTGCTTTTTCTCTCATTTATAATGTAAATATGAGCTAATTTTGTTTCAGAATGTCCTCCTCAAAAGTATCCGTTTAAAGGTCTGTAGTGGTTTTATTAAAAATTACGTATATGGATAGTTTAAAATTTATTTTAATAACATTCAACATAGTGCCCCAAATCCATCGAAAATGAAAGTATAAGCATTCATGTAAAAGATATCTTCTTTAAATATAATAACGGGGTTAAAGATTCGGAAGGATTCAAGAACGTAACTGTGCTTTTTTTTATTTTTTACAATACGAAGCGATAAAAATGTTCTAATAACCTTATTCTGATGCATGCTGTGAATATTAAGGTAATTTGACGCTGCAGTGAGAAGTACAAGTTATTTTACTTAATTTATGTTTAGTTTTATTTCACTGAAGGCCAGTTATAGAACCGTAAGATGTACAGTTTCTCTTTCTCCTCTTATATTTCGTGAGAAGTTTGTAGCATGTTACCTGTTTAAATAAAGAAAAAGGAAAATCATTTTCCGTGCACATTCACAAATGGTTCACCAGTTTACTGACAATCTGAAAATAATTTTTCCCAAAGTATTTTCTATTTTACTTTCCTTAATAATGACTAATACCACTCACGTGTAAAGTATTTTATCTGTAAAACTAATTTGGTTCTCTTAACTAGTAATGCATATTCTGTATAGGCAAACAGTTGTAGATTGAAAAATGCCTCATTTACTGAAATAAAACATGGCTTGCTCTTTGTTACTGTTATTATAAATACAGTAGTGGGTTTTCAACGTGAATAAATAGGTTCCAATTAAGTAACAATATATGCATTTAAATTACGTAGTATTGTGAATAAAAATGCCAAGACTGCAAATACTGTAATATCAGGTGCTATCACTGCTGTTATTCCACGCATTTTTCATTTACGTTTTACATGATCGATCGACAGTTAGGTTTTATGCTGATAGTTTGTGGTAGTTAATTACTCTTAATTTCTTTTAGATAGACTCGGTCAGTGGTGATTGTAGTGAAAATTAAAAAAAATTATTATATTCAAACAAGTTTTTTTTTTCGTTTTGGCATTTTGCGTTGAAATCTTTAAAAGGCTGTATCATTTAACTGTTGCCACCGAATACAATCGCCCTGTATTATATTTGAAGAAATTAAATAATGAAGAACCTGCATAAATGTATGTATTTTTCTCGCATTGTGATAAAACAACGGTACCTAGAGCAATCCAATTTTGAATGACGTAATCCTACTGCGAATACTGGAAGCCAAAATTTGAAATTTGGAATTTGTTTTATTATCAACTTTATATTTTGTAAAACTTTAAAGAATTTCTGATGAACAAACTCAAGAATTTCAAAGCGAGCAATGGCAAAGTTGTACAGGAAAAACATTTTTATCTTCATCGTGTGAGACTTTGTATCGGAAGTTCTAAAGATATGCTCAATTTAAAATTATTTTGCGATATTGCTCTTGAACTGAATTTTATGGTTTAAGTGCGAAAAACTTGATATTTAATAAATAAAGGTAACACAAATATTTAAAAAATGCCCCCATGGACGTAATTTAAAATCTGAAATCTTTCAGATTTTTTTTTCAGTTTTTTTAATTAATTTTTTTATTGTGCTCTAAAAGTTTTCCAATATACGTTTTATTTCGATATTTCTTTTTCCGATAGTTCAAAAGCAAAAAATTGATTATATTTCTTGATTGTGGCTAACGAATATATATTTGAATAGTAACTTAAACTATAAAGTAAAAACTCGAATCTGAAATCCATTCTATCATTCTATTAGAAAAACTACTGAAAATATATAAATAATTTTTTTAAAACAAAATATATGATTTTTTTCCCATTTGCCAGCTGTTTATGCGAAAGAAAAATCTTCAATGTGCGCTCACCGTAAAATTCGAATCTACTCAATACTTCATATCCATTCTATAATTCTATTAAAAATACTTCTGAAGATAAATTGACAGTTCTATTTTTACAACAAAATAGTATGATTTTTTTATTTGGAAGCTGCGCATGCGCATATATAATACTTAAAACAGAATTTTAAACACTGCAAATGCTTTAGAAAAGCATTTTGTATCATTAATATGCATACATAGTTATCTCGTGAGGCTTATGAAGCAAGTTGTTTAACTGATTTAGATTGAACTTAGAATACATATTTCTTTTGAGTTTCTAGTTTCTAGAAAATTCTATTTCGATGAAATACCCATAAATTACATTAAGCTATATGTCTATTTTCTAAGAGACCATGGATATTTGCTTATCTCTGCATTTACTATTTTCATTAAAGAAAATTTAAATGCGCAGATAAGGCCTTGGATAGTAAGCTAGCTTTTCTGATTTATTTCGACCTGAAATTTATTGATTTGCTGAGAAATTGAAGTACTTCCTATAGAAAATAATCCATCTATGCAAGAGATTTGAAATCAACTTCATAGACATTTAAAATTCCGGCAGGATCTTCTACCTGAGTTTTTTTTTTTTTTAATGAAGATCTGCTGAATATTTGAGATGCATATGTCAGAGATGTCTGAAAAGAAAACAAAAATCTGATATGAACACCACATGAATTCCTTGTACGGCCTATTAAATTATACATATTTTTGCTGCATCATTTAAACCTTATTTCCTCGAATTTCATTAGAGATATATTTCTCATTCAAACGATTCAGTTCTCATTTCGCGGCAAGGAAAATATACATAAAACCTCAAAATAGCTTCATTAAAAATTGTAAAATACAGAAAAACATAAAACAACAAATAAAAAACAAAAACAAGCAATTCGGACAGCGGTCAGGAAGACAGATTTTTCGGTGCACGAAACTAAAAGTTCACTTTGGGTCAGATTCGGTAAAAAGACACTTAAGTTGGTGCACCAGCTGACTTAATTCGTTATTCTGCTAAGAGTTTAAAAGGTAAACAAATAGCGCCTTCTTTAGGCCTAGTAGTACT